ATTTGAATGGTGATACCACTCCTAAGGACTTAAATGTTATAAAGACATCTGGTATCATGACATTAGATGGTCTAAAAAAAATAACTTAAGGATAATAATTTTCTCACAGTGTAAGAAATGTTATGCTGGGAAGCGAAAACAAACAAACAAACAAACAACTTCTCTTTTCTCCCTCTCCCAAACCTTAACAACAATCAAGACTTAGTCTCTTAGATATGATAATTTAGGAATAATGATCTATAATTACTATATCACTTAACTATAAACATTTCATTCATTCATTTGGAGTGTATATACAGGTATATTTCAGAGAAATTATGGGCACTCATCTTATTCCAGTTTGGAACTTAAAACTGAATATTTTGAAAGATTTGCATTTCATTTATTTGATAAAATAACACAGTTACAGGCTACAAAATACAAAATTTCCAACACGCAGGCTTGTGCTTTCCCAGAGGAATATGGCATGAAGTAAGAAGGGAGTTCATGGGTGTGTCTTTATTGTCTCTGCACCCTGGTCTTTCTTGCCTTCTTGTCTTTATCTGGACACCTAGGATTCTCCCAAGTTGGTATTGAAAGCCTGGGCTCAGCTCTTGGCAGGGGTTGGGGGTTATAAGAAACAGCTCCCCTCTTTCTGGAGTTTTTCCAGTTTTCCACTGAGCCCATGTGAGCACAGAAGGTCTAAGGGCAGGCCAGCCCAAGGGCATGCATCAGCCTAAGTTCCCGCACTGGCGGCCTCTGCAGGCTGGAGGTGGCTCTGTGAACGCACAGGGACAGAAACCTGTGTGTCTCTCTTCTTGGATGTCTATGCCTAGAATCCACTTGAGGGCTTGCACAGCAACGTGCATTTGATAAACCCTGTTGACAGGCCGTGTCACTCATAACACTTACTGATAGATAAGTTCCAAAGACCTACACGGTTCTTGACCATTCACCAATGCACTGTGTGACCCCAGTGCCGGGCATTCAGAGCTGAGCACACAGAAAGCAATCAATCCACCTTTGGGGGCTCACTATCTACCAGATGGGTAAGATGCGGCTAGTTCAAAAAACAGCCAGAGGCGCTGTCAGGAAGGAGGCGTTCTGGGCCACCCTAGGTGGCCTCCAGCACACAGTAACTTCCCCCTTCTTTTTTGTTATCCATCAACAATCATACTGCAAAAAGTTGTTTTCCTTCATTCTGTACTTTATTCCTGTGGTGTGGTAGCCTCCAAGTCCCCCGTGGCTACCTGTTCATCCTGTGAGATGGTAGTTTCGATGCCCCCCCCCCAATTGCTACTATGTGGCTGTATTCTATGCCTTCCTGGAGACTTAGAGCTCCCCAAACACCTTCAAGGCATTCATCTCCGCTTGGGTGTGGACGTGTTGGTATTTGTGCAGCTCACTTCTCTGGGAGGAATGGCTGCTAAGAAGGGACACATTTATCAGTGCCTGTCACTTCTGAGTATCTTTAATTCTGTCCCATTATATAGCAGGTATTTTATTCAATACTTTGACATATTAGTCATCATAACGAGTATTGTTTCTTTTGGATATTTTTTAGGGTGAATACACTAGATTTTGTTTTTTTAATACCAGAAAATTCTAAAGCATTAAGAAAATCCCCTGGATCTGGTCTAAGAGACTCTTTGGGCCAAGTCTGTTTCCAGGGACTCTAGGGACCCTGTTTAAAACTTCAGCTTCCCCTCTGTGTAGTCCCCTGCAGCCACCCTCTTCAGGCTGCTACCTGCTTGGCTCCCAGGTTAGTGTTCTCCTTCCTCTCAAGGCATTTGTTTATTTTCTCTGTCACAGAGATCTTAGTCCTTTCTAATTGCAGAAAACAACCCTCAAGAAATAAAGCTTCTGACAAAAGCCCTGCTTGTCCGGCATGTGCCCCAGCCCGGAATCTTCCACCCCAGGGCCTGGCTCACTAGGAATCTGAACAGCACAGCTAGAGTTCGGCCGTAACCAGAGAACCACAGAGCTGGTGTATAAGGGACTCCAGTGCAGACAAGGGTGTCAGGGAAGACAGCGCTCCTGAGGTGGGGGCTGCTGCCACCACCTTCATCCTGATCTCACTGGCTGTAGGGACATCTCTGTGGAGAGTCACTAAGTCCTACCGGAAGGGGGCAGATGAAGAAAATGGCCCTGCTTGTAAAGATGCTTTTCTTTTTATTTCTTGAAGTCTAAAATTGCTCCAAAAACATAGTCTTTTAATTGGAAAAAGGAAGGGGGGAGGGACACAGGAGAGATGGCTCCATGAAGATGCTAGTTTCTCTTCCACAAGGCCAGGGATCAGTATCCAGTGCCCACATGGTGGCTCACACAGCCTGTGACTGCACTGCCAGGAATTTAACACCCTCTCCTGGCCTCTGTGGGCACTGCATGCATGCGGTGCACAGACATACATGTAGGCAAAGTGTCCATAAACATAAAATACCCTTTTAAAAGTTCAAGGAAATGCAAGTAGAGAAGGAAAGAAAAGACAAAGAGGTAGAAGACAGGCCCTAACCAATGCTGCACCCTGCACGACACCATCACACTATAACTTCCCTCCATGGCTGCAGAGACCCAGTAAAATCTGCTAAAAACAAACAACAACCAACAACCCCAAATGCATGGGGCCAGGGGTGGTTGGGAAACAGAGGGAGAATGGCCCCCAATGTGGGCTGAAACAACACTCCGCCTTCTACAGGAAGTCCAAGAATTTGACACCGGAAAGAATCTGGAGCGAGAGACCAAAAGAGTTAAAGCTTCCAGGAATCCGTGGGCTTGTACAATAGTGGCCACCATCTACAGGTGGCCTTTGAGCACTCACAATAGGAGGAGTCCAAATTGGTGTGTGTTAAGCTAGAGTGAAGAGGAGCCAGATATCTCAATAACTGTATGCTAATTAAAACATTATTTTGACACAGAAAGCTAAATGAAATATATTACGAGAGCAAAGTGTACTTGTCACCTAACACATCTATTAGAATATTTTGAGTTGCACAGATGTTTTTGAGTACTGATGGGTATATTTCTAGAATGTTCAGGAAAGCCACAGGTCCCCTACAGGGTGCTATAAGGGAGTCCGACTACCTTCAGTAGTAATTGATTAACCCTAGAAGGTTGGGACACAAGACAGCATTCACAGACAGACTAAGTGAGAGAAGACACAAACTGACAGGAATAGATGACTTTCTTTGCTTTAGCAATTTTTTTGTTAAATTGCCAAATAATTCCTAAGAAACAGCACACGCTCTAAAAATAGAATTCAGTCTAAGGAAAAAATTCAACACTTCAGAAACACATTTACAGCATGAAACAAGGTACAATTTTCCAACATAAAGAAGCTATAATCAGTCATTGGATTTAAACTAGAAAATAAGAAAACCAAGGAATCATCAGGGCATGGGGGACTATGTCTCTGAATCCCTCAGAGTACTGTGCAGGTAGGAGGCTGATACTGTCCAAGTTCACTGGAGAGATCAGACACATGCATGACTGCGGTCATTTACATTGTATTTACCTCATGTCATCTATTTCTTGAGGCCATGTCTCTGGAAATTCATGAGTAAAAGATTTAAAAACAGAAAGAATGCTGATTCCAAGTTATCCAAACTGAGTGGAACCAGAAACCAGATTCTCAGACATGTAGGTATGAAGTAAGTCTAGCTCCCCTAGGTTCTGCACATTTCTGGTTACCTGTATAGAGCACACACAAACTTCAGATCTGAGGTGATATGCTAGCTCATGGTCCAGGATGTTTATTTTATAAATTAGGTGCTGAGCCAGAGAGACATGTAACTTGCATGGAATTGCTTGCTGACATGCCAGGACTCAGGCTGTATGGTGCAGGTGTATACTTGGCTTCCTAAGGATCACCTGGGCCATATGAAAACTCCAGCTGGCCAGAGGCTTTTAAAAAAATGAGGGATCAAATAACCCCTGTGTGTAATGTGTGCATTAGAACACTTCTTTTAAGTAAATTTAGTTGTATGGACAGGTAGCTTAGGTAGCAGAGCAGAGTCCACACCTAGGATGCTCAAAGGGAAGCCTGGTACCCAGGAATGAGAGATCAAGCGCAGGGAGGTACAGGGAGAAGACAAGGAACGGCCTCACAAGCTCATGTTTCCCGCTCCCCGCATTGCTCACACACACATCCCAAGTGCCTGGACACTTTCGGAACTCTGGTGACCTGTTTTTCAAATCACACACCCCTTTCCATGAAGTACAATGATATGGCGTTTCAGAGTAGCCAGACTAACTAGCCAGCCTGTATGAGTTGCAGGGCATAGCCTCATAGACAACGATGATAACATTGGGATAGGAGTTGCTTTTCTGGATGGAGGCTAAATTTTCACTTCTTGACATGTGTGAGTGCACACACACGCGCGCGTGCGCACACACACACGCACACACACACAGAGTGACTTTGCATCCAATCTCTTATTTAAAAGGATTTTTGTCTTTTCAACTTTATGTGCATGAATGTTTGTCTACATATGTATACATGACATGTTCACTGAGCCAAAAGTGAGTGTCAGATCCTATGGAGCTAGAGCTACAGATGTTTGCCAGAGCCACCATGTGGGTTCTGGGAACTAACTGACCTGGGTCCTCTGTAAGAACAAGTGCTCTTAACCACTGAGCCATCTCTCTAGCCCTGGGCATCTCACAGTGAAAGCTTTCCAGTCCTTCCATAAATAGTGAGCAGCAAAGTTACTTTACCAGGAATCTCCTCTTTGAGAGAGAGGGAGAGAGGAAAAGAGAGAGGGGCTGGAAAATACCAAAATCTCAAACATTTTATTGTATTTCTACAAAGCTTCCCCCTTCCATATCAGGATCAGGACGTTAATAAACGTCCCAAGACTTTGCCTTGAGAGGGCCTGGTGTCCCATGGAAGTCTAATCTATTTCTAAACTATAGGTGAATGAGAGTGAAGAACTTGTCAAAGCATTCGGGCATCTCCCAGGGGTGGGGTGGCATTCGGAGGGTACTTGCAGCTACACACCACGCAGGATGCTGAGGTACTGTACCTTTGCAGGTGAAGCATTTGATGTGGAAATGCTTGGTCTGGACCCGAAGCACTTCGCCCTTGCATGGCTCCCCGCACTTATGGCAGTGAATGGCAGGCTTCTCTGACGAGTGGTGAGGGTCCTGAGGATGGGCCACTGGAAGGAAACAGCGAAAGACGTAGGTGAAAAGGAAGCATTTCTATGAAGCTATCTTTGCAAGGATGTGTGACCATGCCCAGCTTGCAGCGGCACCCCCCCCCATGACCTTGGATCCACACCTGCATGGGTCAGCGGCAGCCTTCACAGTCCACTGGGGACACACATGCTGTCTTCTGCCTTCTGTCTTGCCTGTCAAGGGCTCCTGATTGTACAAATCACAACCCGTTTCCCTTTGAGCTTTGCGATCAGTAGTTGTGGCATCTTTTTCGCTGACTTAGCACACACACCCCAGCAGGTGTAAAGCAAAGGTTCCCTCGAGGTGGGGACCATTTCTTACAGTCTGTTTGGTTTCTTTCCTAAGTGTATTCCATGTCCCAGCTACCATCTGGAATCATGCATTGGAAACAACTTGGGCTATGTGAAACAGTTTCTCACTGCCATCATCAGAGGGCGTTTTCTATCTTAAACTGGGGACCCATCTATCCTGCATGAGACTCTCATGGCGTACACAGGGCTTCTCATATACTATGAATAAAAACGTAAAAATAATGACAACCTACGAAGCCTGAATCCCTTTGCACATGACCTGCTTCCCTGCCCATAAGGCAATGGGGACCGAACCAGTTGGGTGCATATGAGGGGTCTCATGGAGATTATATTCCTAGATCTGATGGGGGATGTCTTTCTGTATGCTGTGAATATATGTTTCTCTTATTGGTTGATGAATAAAGCTGTTTTGGCGAATTGACAGGCAGGAAATCCAAACAGGGATAGGGAAAGGTAGTAGATGGGGTCAGGGACACACAATGTAGCTGCCAAGAAAGCCAGAGATTGAGGCATCGCCGGTAAACCAAGACCACTTGGAGATACACAGATTAATTAAAATGGGTTAATAATTAAGAGAGAACTAGCCTGAGCCATCAGCCAAACAGTTTATAATTAATATGAGCCTTTGGGTGTTTATTTGGGACTGAATGGCTGTGGGTAGGACAGAAACCTCCATCTACACAGATCCATAGTGTAGTTTTCAGAAAATGAAAGTTAATTTGTCCATCCTGGCCTTAGTCAGGTGCAGAGCCTGAACCTAACTGCAGAGGGGCAGGAGAAAGGTAGAGAGACAACTCCTGGGTTTCCACAAACTCAATGGTTTGTGTCTCTTGCAGATTACTTGGCCCGAGACGGTCAATAGCCACTTGTCCCCAGGACTTCCTTGCTGGTGAAGAGCCTTAGGACCCATGTGACACAACCAGGATCTGCCCTTGACCAACCAACACAAAGAGCAGCAGCAATTTTAAAATATTTTTCAAACGTTTGTCAAGCGGGAAAGGTGCCCTGGACAGCTCATGTGAGACTAAGACCCAATGTAGAAAGGCCATTAGAGGGAGAAGCCAGCTGTGTATAATACCACATGTATAAAAGCATTGTATGTCTTCCCAGGCAGCTTCCCATTCAAGTACTAACCAGGCCCAGCCCTGCTTAGCTTCTGAGGCCAGATGAGCTCGGGTGTGTTCAGGGCGGTACGGCCATAGGCAAGCATAGCCTGCATAATGTTGTTCGGTATAGGGCTCCCCCTACCCCCTTCTCATTTTGCAGAAAAGAGTTTTGGCAAGATGGCACAAACAACCAGTTCCTGGCCCCGTTTCTTGTGAGGTTTTGATAGGGACCAGGTGTGGTCTCAAGCCAAACACGTGATCAAATTCTTAGCATCTTTGCCTGGATCCCAAGAATGCCTGGAGGCAGGAAACCCACATCACAAGCCACCTGCATTCCTCTGCCTACCTGATAAGATCTCTCTATGTTTACCACCAAATTCACGTCTTCTACAGGAATTTAGGAGGGGCATGCATGCTATCAAGATCTCTGAGAGCAATGTACGTTAAAGGTCAACAATCTATTCACATGGGCATTAAGAAAAACGTTCTCTCAAGAGCGCCTGCTCCTATGCCGGTGGGGGAACATGTGAGGTTTTCACTATCCGCCAGTTAACTTCTTTTTCCAGCAAAGTTACCATCACTGGGTATTACCCTAACCCTGGGCAGGTGCTTATCCGTCAGTCATTTTTCCCATTTTCAACACCCTTGCCTGGTAGTGGGATGAGCAAAGGCGGCTGAACAGTGCTAACAAAGTAACAAAGTAACAAACAGCTAGAGTGTCTCAAAGTAACAAACAGCTAGAGTGCAAAGGTCCACACCCTGGCCCTTCTAGACCCACTATGCTCCTCCCATTCTATTAGGATACGCCAGGAAGTTGTTACAGGCAAGATGTTTACTTAGCCAATTCTAAGTGCATTTCTAAAAGAACATCTAGGGTTTGGCTTTCAGAGAGAACACTGACAAAGTATGAGGAAAAGGTGTCTCTAGGTGGGCCCAGGACCCTGGTTGTCACAAAGTAATTGTGCAACCCTGGAATTAGAAATCCCTATGGCGTATTTAGAAAGGCAGATGTCAACTCATTCCCAAAGGCTGTTGTATACAAGATAAAAAGAAAATAACAAATGTTGGGGGTGTGTCTCCTGGAAAAGCAGAGCTCCTAGACACAGTTGGTTAGAATGTCAAGTTAGTATAGTGTTATGGAAGACTCGGTGGAGGTTCACAAACAACATCCAAATACAGATACCCAAAGGAAATGAAATCGCGTCGATGAACAATCAGCCAATGGCCAAGAAATGGATAAGGAAAACATGGCATATCTATCTGCACAGTGGAATATCGTTTATCCATAAAAACGATGAAATTTGCTCTCCTACAGCAGTATGATCGGAACAGGAGGACATTACATTAAGTGATTTAAGCCCGGCTCAGAAAGATGCTTATCACGTGTTCTCAGACATGCGCTGACCTCCTGGAGGCGGACAGTAGAGTCGTGGTTACCAGAGGCTGGGAATGCTGTATGTAAGGGAGGGGTGGAGAGGGAATGCTTAACACTTTGAGGAGTGTTGTCAGGCATGAGGATTGCCTTCCAGTGTGCCACTGCACATGGGAATAACTACGGTTGACAACCGAGTGTTTCAAGACTGCAGTGGACAGGATGTGACAAGTCCCCAGTGCAAAGGAAGCGTAAGTGTCCCACATGGCAGATATACCAAATGCCACAATCTGATTATACAACATATACCCGGAAGTATTAGTCTCACACTGTGCTCCATCAGTACATACAATCACTCTGTGTTGATTAAAAAATAGTAACCAGACATGGTGTTCCTTGCCTTGAACCCAGTCCAAGGAAGGCCGGCACAGGGAGATCAGGAGTTCCAGGCTAGCCTGAACAACATGGTGGCTCCTCATCTCAACAAACTAATAAATGAGATAATAAACATCAATAAATGAAAGTAATTAAGAATCTCTCTCTAGGAAACCCTGGGGCAATTCTGACACATACCACAGATGAATAACATCAGCATTCTTTCCTAAAAAAGTGTCTTTACTTTTATCTTTAAATTGTGTGTGTATGTGTGTGGGCTTGTGCATGTGAGTCAGTATCCACAAAGGCCAGAAGAGAGCAATGGATTCCCTGGAGCTGGAGATCCAGGTAGTTGTGGGATTCCCCTATGGGTCCTGGGAACCCAGATGCAGGCCCTCTGAAGGACATGTGTGGGTCTTAACCACTGAGCCACTGTGCCCTGACTGTTAGCATTCTTATCATTGAACAGGCCTTGCACCATCAGAGCCAGGAGGACCTGTCCTCTCCAGAAAAAATTGTAACAACACAGGGCATCCCTTAAGCAGAGAGTGAGTTTCTGCCTAAGAAACCCTGAGACTTTTGCTGACTCTCAACTTCATTTGCTGAGCAAGAGGCCAGGCTGACTCACAATGAGAAGGCTTTTCTCTTGGCTTTTCTGTGTATGTGAATAAAAGGACCAGCTCAAACTCTGGCAACTGCAGAGATCAAAACCTGCATTCTGCAAGCATTTTCTTTTAGGAAGATGCATCACACCTGAAGGCTTCCACACCTTCAACCAGAGATAGGCAAACCAGACCGTTTACCTGTCTTTTTTCATCTGACAGCCTGAGCATGCAATCCCTCTCTCTCTCTCTCTCTCTCTCTCTCTCTCTCTCACACACACACACACACACACACACACACACACACACCAGAATCACTCCCTGGGGAAGAAATGGGATTTCTTATCAAGAGAACAGGACAAAATCATTGTGTATTTTATCCTAACTAAATTGGTGTAGACAAAAGTCCTCCACCCCCTCCTTTACAAGGTGAACAAAGACGTGCTTTTTTCGGCTGCCTTTGGCAGTTTGGTTAGTGCCAAGTGCATGGCAGTGCATGCTGGACCCTGAAATGCCTGCAGTGTCCCTCAGTGCTGCCCTCACTCGGTCTGCTCCTGACTCTGATGATCCGTCAGGGCCTGGTGGCCTCTGCTTCTTCTACTGATGGCAAAGTGAGGAATCAAGAGCCCACATTCCAGTTACTGGGATGATGTACCCTGTGCCCTGGACTTCCCGGCTCTTCAAAGTGTTCCTAGTGTTCAATGATTTACCCTGGGATGGGGGTGGGGAGAGCTGAAGGGGTGTGAGGGGATGGGAGGGGCGCGCGCGTGCGTGTGTGTGTGTGTGTGTGTGTGTGTGTGTGTGTGTGTGTGCATGTACTCACGGGTGTGTCTGTGTCTGTGTGTGTGCATGTGCGTGTGCATATGCACGTGTGTTTGTGCGTGTGTGCAGAAGCCAGGTTAATCTTCCATGGCTTGTTCATCTTACTGGCAAATGGGAAAGTGCAGGAGTACCCGAAACACAGTTGCATGCTTTCTGAATAATAATGAAACCAAAGAATCTGTGTCTGAGATGCAGCTTTCTCCAGTGCATAGTTACCAAGTTTGGGGAGACTTGGCCCCTCTGACAACTCCACCTACTGTGGGCTCCACCCAAGGAGTTGTGGGTTCACTTTCTCAGTGTGTAAAGTGTCCTGACCACCCCCTGGAACTTCAGTGTAGGGCTGAGATCAGGATGCAAGTCACTGAGGGCTCCAGCAATCTCTGTGTCCTCAGG